ATTTAAAAGTCTAGTTTTTTCTTTTTTCTTTCTTTTTTTTTTTAAAGATTTTATTTATTTTTCAACAGAGAGAGAGAGCGAGAGAGGGAACACAGCCGGGGGGAGTGGGAGAGGGAGAAGCAGGCTTCCCGCTGAGCAGGGAGACCGATGTGGGACTCATTCCCAGGACCCTGGGATCATGACCTGAGCTGAAGGCAGACGCTTAACGACTGAGCCACCCAGGCGCCCAAAGTCTAGTTTTTTCTACTTAACATCATATCTTCAGTATTTCCGCACAATGATACATAGAAGTCTTCAAAATGATCCTTTTGGTATCTGAACAACCAATATTTTGGCATGATCATACATGCAAAGTACTTCTAATTGTGCTGTGTTACAACAAATCTCCTTCATATAGTTCTTCCCATCTTTTGTATTAGTGGTTTCAAATTTCAGCATGCAGCAGAATTACCTGGACAGCTTGTTAAAGTACAGGTGGCTGGGCCCCACCTCAGGTGAGGCCCAGGAATTTGCAATTCCACCAAGTTCCCAGATGATGCGAATGCTGCTTATCTGGGAGATCACTTTTTTTTCTTTTAGTGTATTTTTTCTTTTTTTAAGTAAGCTGTATGCCCAATGTGGGGCTTGAACTCATGACCCCAAGATTAAGAGTCGCATGCTCTACCAACTGAGCCAGCCAGGTGCCCCTCAGGGAGATCACTTTAAATAATTATTTTTATTTAAATAGAATATTATCATCGAGTTGTATTGACAAATCAAATAGTACCTTTTTATGGCATCTAAGACATATTTCTGAAAACCTTTTCTACAAGTTTATACAAATTTATATTGCCACCTGATCTCTTGATACTTGAAGCCTGAATAGAAACCAGCTAACTGAAAGAATTGACAATGGAAAATTCATACTTTTCTCCCCAAAATCACAACTCGAGGCCTCAGATCCAACTATTTATATTTCAAGGATACAGACACCATGGCTAAATGGTAAGATGCAAACATCTGTTACCACAGAAAACAAGAAGCTTTTATCATCATTGTCCAATTTCAAAAGTCACTGAAAACTAACCAAAATATTTATACCTTGGAGCAGGGTAAATGTGTATCTGCACTATGCAGATACAAATTAGCTGCATGTAGCTTGTTTGTCCAACAGACAGTTCAAAAACCATGTCAGTCATTGGAAGATGTAGGGCAAAAATCTGGCTTCAAAAAATTGTTTTTGATAAGTTAGAAGCAAGAGCATTCTGACTTTGGCAGGGGATAATCAGCATGTTTGCCTAAAAGCCACAGTCAAAAATCTCAGAGGTTCTCCCTTGTATTAAAGGATTCTTCATATTTGGGTAGAGATTAATCCCTCACCCTTAAATGGAGACATATACATATAAATAAATATATTCACATAAACATACAGATGCGTGTATATAAGTAAGCATTAGATAGCCAGATATGCAGAGTAGCTATTCATACACTGGTTTCTAGAAACCCACAGATAAGACATATGCTTAGCAAAAATATCATCTGCAAACATTCTTGTATTTTTCATTCTTATTTGTTGTTACTGTATCTCTTTGAGTGTAGAAAGAGATGTGTTCAGATACATAGTAATAATAAAACCATACATAAGTAAAGTGATTGGGTGTTTCAACAAACCTTGAAATCTAGTTGGCAATGAACTTATTAACTCTGGTTTATATTGAGAAGAGTAGATCAAGAGTAAAAATATGAGAATCTTTTAAGATTAAGATAATGTTGTATTTATGACTTTCTAAGGGATGGTTTTTTCTGAGTTAGTGTTTTAGTAATTGTGTTATCTTTAAGTAAGAGCTAAGTCAACAGTCCTAACGAGCCTCAAGTGACTCAAAATTGTTCTTTGCGTGGACAGGTTCATTATGGCCATATGAAAACACTGCTGCTCTCAGAATGGACAGAAAACTAGGGGATAAACACTAATATAATATACCATATTTATTTCACTGTATGTATGTTTTATAGAATCATATACATAAATGCATCTACTTATGTAGTAAATATGACCCCACCTTGCAGCCTCAAAAGAGATATGGCAAATTTTAAAATATGCCAATGTTAAAAATACAAACATAAGAAACACAAGACGGCAATGCAGAGACAGTCAGGCAATCACTCCCCTAGTGTGTTTGAGATTCTGACTATAAGCACTTAGTACTTAATCCAGGTGTTCAGAGCAAACTAAAGTTAAAATATTAGCAACAACCATATGATCACTTGAAAACCAATACCTCAAAGCATTTTTGAGTCATAACTGTCAGCTCCTTATAGTGAGTGCAGAATGACAATTAATTATAGTCCAAGCCACAAATCAAAAAGGACTAGCCAAAGGGTATACATATCAATAAAATTTTTTTAGATTGTCCATTCAGTTTAGAAGAATAAATAGGGAGATAACATGTAATGAAAGGTGCATATGGTCTTCATGTGAAATTTCAGTTCCTAAACTCAGTAGAATGGGAGGTGAAGGCTTCTAGGGAAAACAGAGAAAAGGACAGTGGCCTTTTTAAAACCAGCTTACTCCATCAGGGTGGAAATGGACCCCTAGCAAGCTGAAGGATAAGAATTTCAATGAATACATATTAGTGGATATTTTCCTTTTTTGACAAATAGTTTTAGTTTCCAATTTATGCAGTGATAGTAAGTTTGTTTTCAAAAGAATTTGAAAAAAATGGGCCACTTTTAAAGTAAAACCTGTTATATGCACCTAATGAATCGTTGAACACTACATCAAAAACTAATTATGTACTATATGCTGGCTAATTGAACATAAAAATAAAAATAAATAAAAATAAAAAATAAAGTAAAACCTGTTGTAAAAAAAACAGTGTAAATTACCTGTGGACAGTGTAAAAAGAGAAGGAGATTAGCGTAGTTAATTACAACACTGGTCTACAGCACGTGTTATAGCTGAGTGATGCCATAACTTGCTGGGCCAATCAGAAATGACCATATTCCAGTTACTTCTCTTATTGCAGGCTCACTCAGAACATCAGAAGCATGAAACTGAATGTGTCCAATATGTGTACGCTGTGTTAACTGGTATTAAATTCAAATGCTATCACTCAGGACTTCGATGTAATTCTTTTCAGTAAAGCAAATCTCATCTCCTCTATAAACAATACATGAAAAGAATTTCACCAAAAGGAAACTATTTTCTGAATAGAAAAACAGAACATCAAAAAATACCTTGAATGTCCAATGTGCTATAAATTTATCTTATTCATAAATATGGATATCAAATTCTCTGACCATTGACTAAATATGGAAGACCTGACACAAATAGACATATGTGATACATATTTTTTGCTTAAAGATTTTAGGTTACATTATAGGGAAAAGTATCTAATTTATTAATCATGTATTTGTCAACACTTCTAAAATAAAAAGCAATAATTATGTAAATAAATGAAGCCCTAGGTTTTGATTCTAGGCTCTAGGGACTAACATTCTCAAGAAGTCTGAGTCTCAAGAAAGGCTATCCTGAGAAAGGTCAACCTAGTAAAATTTAAATACATCTGTAGAGATGCCAAATTATTATTTTTTAATGTACTAAAGTGAAAGAAGGCAGCATATGTTATTTTTGTAATAAAACCAAGAGAACAATAAGCAAATACTAGAGCAACTCTCTTAGGCCATTCTTCCAGATTTGTTCTCAAAACCCTAATCGTCATATATCATTATATTTTTCTCATTGTCATTACAAAGCAAAATAGCAATTACTACCTGGAAATTTTTAAAAAATCAATAAACATGACCCTAAAGTTAGATTAAAAAACAAAACGATCAACATTATTTTTGAAGGCTAATTATGATCAAACATTTCTTCAAATAACATGTTGTAGAGCCTCAAAAAATTTGTCATATGAATAACTTTCAGTCAAAAGTTGACATTAAGAAAACTTTACACTGACAAAATTTATACTGGGTCATCACTGATTTTGAGTATTGTTACGAATTTTCATTGATGGTACTTGCTGTACACATTCCTTCTGCTCCACAAAACAAATAACAAGCAAGATATTTTAACTTATTCAAATGAGAGAATACAGTTCCTTTGAATCATAACCTCTGTTCTTTAAAAAATGACTAAAAAATATAGAAGAAAAAGACATTGATTTCTAGGAATATATGAGTGCTATATTTTCATCTTCTTAATTTTGAAAAGAAGAATCTTGGTCTTAGGAAATGTCACAAACTTATTTTTAGATGAAATTATCTTGATTATTCACAAAAAAAGATCAGAAGTGAAAAGCATGAAATGTTACTTTGAGCCACTAATAACAACTTAAATGCTCATGATATCTAGTCCGATTTTTCATTAGTAAAGTGGACATTAATGATCATAAATGATTGTAAAATGGACACAGACCACCAGAACATTCATTGGCACACATTCATGCTTCCTTATTCTAACCCAGAGAACGAAATAAGAAATGGCAGTCACTAGTTAACCATGCCATTGTAATGAGTTTGCATTCTCACTCTGGTTCATGACCCAAACTTCTTGAAAAAATCAGGTTCAAGGCGTTTGAAAAGTTACCAGGACCAATAGGACGATCATTTCCCAAACTTGGGATATGGAAGACCAGGGCAGAATACTGTTTCTTTTTCCCATGGGGTTTGGGGCCTGGGGGCAGGGGGCGGTGTTTAGTTCCTTTGAAACTAAATGTATAAACAAAAAAAGGAATTTGACTTTTCTTTTTCTCATTGTATTCGATCTCTATGATCTGTTTGGTGTGTGTGTTTGTATATATGTAAAAAGAGAAAGATAGTTCCATTTATTTAGCCCTCAGTAGTAATTATGTATAATATATTAACAAATGTTCATACCTCCTATCTTCAAATCCAACTGTATGCAGCATAAGGAAAGTTCCTGCTTAGTTACAGGTCATATTTCCCCTGTAATTCCCAACTCAAGTCCTGAATAGTCTCAGAAAGGACAAGATATCAAGTGAAAAGTAAAACTTTACCCTAATGAAGAGGATCTTTTCTCCCACTCGGTATCTCCCTTGAGAGAGCCTCTCCACACAGAACTTGTTTGGGCATTTGCAAGGAGGATCTTCAGAAATTCGCTTCACCTGAAAAAGAAGAGCAGGCAAGTTCAATTTTCCTTAATCAGGTTCCATTTAGATTAATTTGTTCCGTGGGTTCAAAGGCCCCTGGACCATTAATGCTTTTAAATTTGTTCTATATCAAACTATGGACATGATATGAGCACAGAAATAACACATTAAATCCTAACTATGTAAAAGTCAGTCCCTGAAGGCATTTTCTGAAGGCCAATAACTGCACTAAGGCATAAGTTGGATGATGACAATAATAATGATGCTGGAGGATCATGATGAGCAAATCAATTGGCAGTGTAGGAATAATGAGCTAGGTTCTCATTTGGGGAGAATTAAAAAGATTGTGTACATTGTGTTGCCGAGATAAACATATTGAAAGCTAGAATAGAATGTATGTTAACAGGGCAAAATTTCCTCATTATAATTTTAATGATATTAATTTTACCATTTTCAAAATAAATGAGAATTAAATGGTTATTTTTTTAAAAAAAACAAGCCTACTGTTTCATATTACTTTGAATTCTAAGATTTTCTTTAGGAAATCATCCCTACTTCACCCAGAGTCACCCAGCAATTCACTCCATGTCAGTAATTCTCACCTACCAAAACCTACTTTTGTGGCAGTATCTTAAAATTTACATGTCATTTGGAATCCATGTCTGAATATCAGATTTCATCTCTATTTTATCTATCTCCCTACTCCTTAAAAAATACATAGTCTAAGTGATATGAGCCACATTCTGGGGTAGGGTGGGGTCAGTGAATGTGGGCGGTTCTCAGAGTTCCTCTATGTGTATTTCTTTCTAAATGTATTTGTAAAAATGTTTTTAAAGTAAAAGTGTATATGCATATAAACATATATATACAAATTATGTTCAATTTATACCATTGCTAATTTATTCCATATCTTTTCACCACAATAAGGGCTTCCATGAAAAAGGAAGGACGGAAAGAAGGGAGAGAGGAAAGTAAGGGAGGGACGGAGAAAGGACTTCGGCCATCCAGCAGAAAATCAGACAGTCAGCATCATAAAAACACATTTTAGGAGACCCATGCTTGGCACAGCTTCACTGCCACATAGGAACTGGGCAAGGCAGTAAATTGGTGTTCAAGTAGTTCCTCTGCTAAGACAAGACAATCATGATTATGTATGGTAAGTGTTTCCATCTTGAAGTGTTCTTAGATGAAACACAGAAACTATTGGTATCAAATGAAAGAAAATACAAGAAACATATTCTCAAGTGGCCTGCCCTTCTCCATTGCCTTCCTAGCTTTGAAAATGGACTGGCTTTTTGAAATCAAGGGCTTTTTTGTAGTTGTGTGAGAGGTGGAGGCAGAAATGGAAGAGACAAGGCCAGACTGTGGGTAGTGGAAATATATTAAGTCAACAGTGACTGATGACATCTGTGCTTCTTATATTACCTTGGGATAAGTCAGTCTGGCAGGTGTTATGTTTTTGGCCAGGAACTCAGCCAATTTTCTGCAGAAATAGGATTTCAAGAGGAGCCTGATTACTCAGAATTATACTATCTCTCATCCCCAGACTGAGGAAGTTGATGGAGAAGAGGAAGAAAGTAAGAATGGTTTCTTAGAACTGTATTCAATTCATTGTGTGGGACTGCGCTCACCGTGAGCGAAGGCAAACAGAGAACTTAACACAACCCTGTTTTTTTTTTTGTAATCACAGCTGATTCCCTCTATCAGGACATCTGGAGAATATATTAATCTGAATGGACTCCACATTCAGTGTGTTTCTCTGATGATAATCTTGATTAAAAAAGGTGGTATGGATTATCCGCATAAAAGGTCACCTATTTTTTTTTCAATTTTCCACAATTTCCTTAAGGAAATTTGAGGATACACTGAAAGTTTCAAACTGGTAGTTATTGTTGAAACAGTTCATGGAATATGATATCTTAGGTCAGCTTTTCCTTCTCTTTATTCTTTTCTCTTCTTTTCCCCTTTTGCTCCCCCTCTTTATTCTCCTTTTTTCCTCTTTTCTTTTTTTTTTTTTGATGAAATAATTACTTTTCCAGAGTAAAAGTAGCTAATATTATTAACAAAACACAGGGACTTTGCAAGCAATCTCTATCTTAAACCCCTATTCTATAGCACACACTGCCGCTCAAGAATTTCAACTCCCCAATGGCTGTTTATGCCTCACACACAACGAAGCAGTTGCCATAGGAACTCTTTCCTTTTTATATTTGATATATGAAGCTCTGATTTAAACCATGGGTGAGGACCAAGTTATTTTTCTCTTTGTTCCACTGTCCCTGAAACAAAACACACCAATGAAAAACTATTACTTAACCAGAATGTGAATATTTCAATGCAATTTCCCCAAATGTAGAGTGAAGGAGCCTGCAAGAGACTTCTGTGGCCAAATAAATCTGGAAAATTCCAGATTAAACAAGACCCTCTCAGAGAACTCATTATTGCCTTTGATATGCCAGCATGCATTGCCAAACTCTAGACAGGGACTATAGTAAGCTATATTTCTCAAACTAACATAACTACGGAATTCTTTTCCCCATGGGGCCTCTGGCAGTATGTTTGATTAAACATTATTTGAGAAATGCTGGCTTAACGACTTTCAGAACAGAGTATTCTAGCTGGCAATAGTACAGAAATATCCACTTGACACATTTCCTACATTCAATTAAATCCCCTTAGCTAAACAGATGGTTATGTTCCCAAACTCCCCTTAGTAAACCTTATAGGGGGTTTCAAGCTCTTCTGAAATCCCCTTCATGGTTTGTAGGTGAAAGAACAGAAGTTGGAGTAGAAAGAACAACCACAGAGCAACAGCCATTTATTATTTATTTATTTATTTATTTATTTATTTATTTATTTATTTATTTATTTATTTATATAAGATTTTATTTATTTGAGAGAGAGTATGAGCTGGGGGAGAGAGAGAGGGAGAAATAGACTCCCTGCTGAGCAGGGAGCCTGATGTGGGGCTCAGTCCCAGGACCCCAGGATCATGACCTGAGCCGAAGGCAGACACTTAACCGACTGAGCCACCCAGGGGCCCCAACAGTCATGCCATTTTAAAGAGAGTACCTATCTCATTCTACTCCTCAACTGGAGTATCGGCAAGACTTTTCCAAAATCCCTTCCATACTTTTTGCACCACCTTCTCTCTCCCGTCCTTTCACTCCCCTACTCAAGGGAAGGGGATGAGGGATGGCCACACGTGGGACAAGCTGGTGAGGGATGGCCACACGTGGGACAAGCTGGTGAGGGATGGCCACACGTGGGACAAGCTGGTGAAGAAAAGGACCCAGTTGCTTCTAGCTACTTCTCCCAGGTTCATGTAAATGGCTTCAAGTGGCAACCTCTCTACCATCTGCCAAGCTACAGCAAGGTTGAGGAGTACACATATTTCCAGAGCACATGGCTTTTCTTGATAAACAGGAAAAGGCAGAAGCTTTTTAAACTTTTATTACCTACATTGGTAATTTATCCAGTATGCATGCCATTGGATAGATATAGATGAATAAAATATGATACTGTCATGGAGACCAAGAACCACACCTAGAGAAGAATGGGCATTTATGCCCAAGAAGGCACATACCTCATTAAATATACACAAAACTTTGGGGCATCAAGAACTAATTTGTCAATTTTGCCTGGGATAAGAGCTACTGACAAAAACTTTATATAGGAGGCTGTGCAATCTGAATTTTAAAAGATGAAAAAGCACTTATATGAATACTCAAAGGCTGAGTAAGCAGAAGCCTGATGAGGAAAGCAAGTGAGGAAAAACATAGGATATAAAATTACCTTAGAAATCTGGGATTAGCAGGCATGAGTTTACAATGGATACATCAGAATGCAAGAGTAAGTCCACAGGGTAAAAAGTCCAGGAAAGAAAAAATGGGCCAGCACATGGAGGACTTATGTGGCATGTCAATGAGTTTGGGCGTTACCCTGGAATGTGAAAGGGAACCCCCTATACAATTTTAATCAAATCTGAGTTGCATTTTTTGCTGATCATTCTGTTAGCAATAACGTTAAGGGGGAGAATTTCAAGAAGAGAATGGTAAACAGTATCAAACACCAAAAAGTGGTCTCATAATTTGCAAACTAAAAAATTCATTTGAGAGGCACCTGGGTGGCTCAGTCGGTAAAGTGTCTGACTCTTGATTTCAGGTCAGGTCATGATCTCAGGGTCTTGAGATCCAGCCCAGCCTCGGGATCCAGGCTCAGTTCCGACTCTGTTTGTCCCTCTCCCTCCCATTCTCTTCCTCTCCCCCGCATGTGCTCTCTCTCTCTCCCCAGCTAGAATAAATAAATAAAAATAAAATCTTTGAAAGAAATTCATTTGATTCAGTGATTCATTCATTGAAAGGCTAAGGGTGAAGTTGGCCAGAACTCTGCGTCTAATGCATCGGAGAAAGTGAACGGAGGTCAGAGAAACACATTTATAAGAAAGTCTAAAGGAACATCTTACTCTAAAGTAAGTTGAATCAGAAAAGTATAACCAGGAGAGAAGGAACATTATTCTCATCAATATATAAATAATATGTCATTGCCTACTGTTAATACAATATGTTGTTCAATTTCCTTACACAATAAAAATGAAATACTATGACAAGGAAGGCATGTGACCAATCCTAAAAACAGTTCTGTGATTTTAAAATCCTTTTAGATGGCATTGGATTAAAATGCCCTTCCTAGTCTTTAATTCCTGAGTGGATTGAACAAAAGAAACTAAAACTGATTTTGGCTAAAACATCTTGACAGGGTAAGTTTTAACTTGGCTGCCCTTAGAAATGGAAATTCTCAATCTGTCAAATTGTACTTCTGCTTCTCCGAATCTGCAATATAGGCCATAGTGTCACATGGGGAAAAGCAAAAGGCAATCTGTCTTCCACATCCTACAGTGTCAGTCAGCCATTTTCCCAGCTCTTTGCAGCTCAGACCCTAGAGAAGGAGACTCTCAGCTATGGGCCAGCACTGCTTTTCGATCCTGCCTATTCCATATAAGTGCATTATGGTTGGGGCTAGTTTCTGAGGACCTTTCCATGTAGGAGACATACTTCAGTCTAGCATCCCTGAGGTAACTACTTTTTGAACAACTGCCCAAGTACTTTTGAGATTTGTACTCAGTCTGTGTGCTGGGAGGTGAATGCATGCACACAAACACACTTCTTATAACCAAGAACTACTTTTAACAGACCGCAGAGGAGCCAGAGAGTTTTAATTCATCCAGGTTGCTCTTCCTTCCAGAATCTGTTTGCTGTGATTATGAGGGTCTACGAAAACATTCCCTAATCTGCCAAAGATAGTAATCTGCTAAGGAGAGAGGTGGGGACCCCAGACAGTTAGCAAAACTGAGTTGGAATCTAAGCTCCTCTCCCCTCGGCAGGTGATTCAATTCCTGCTTCAGTTTCTCCAACAAGAAAGGAGCCTTGTGATAACAAGAGCCCTTGAAAAACAATGATAGATCCTGGCCAAGAGCAGACAGGGAGCAAAGGGCAACTCTGTTCTCTGTGGCAGGTTGGTGTTCTCTTCTCCTGCCTCTGGCTTCTTATCTGTGAAACAACCATGAACCAAAACCATCAAGGTTGAACTGTTTGCAAAGATAATTTTTAGGAAGTTAACTTATTATCCTAAAATTTTAAATACTACTCAGTAGAATTCAGTGACGCATTATTTTAAATGACTGGCTCAGGTTCGAATCTCAAAATGACTACTTCCACTGTTGTAGGACTACAAACTTTTTCGTAGGATTTAAAAATGAATTTCAATGAAATTGAAATAGGTAAAGGTTAGATTGACAAAAGATTGTACAGAATGAGTTTTGAAGTTCAAAAAAGACTAAGGGCTGGTAAGAAATCCAACCAATTTTACTTACTGCATCATCCAGTAAGTTTCCCGTACTCTTTTTTCCAGAAGATTTTGATGAAGGAGAAGGTGAAGGAGAAGGAGCAGAAAGTGTTTCTTCTTGTTCAATCTCTTTTTCCAATTTTATCAATCCAGGAGGTTCCACACCATACCTTTTAAAAGACACCAGATCAATACACACGCATAACTTATAATGACACACTTACCATATGTTACATTTGATCATGAATGCCATAGGACCAAATTGCTGACTTTTTTTTAAAACTAACTTTCTCTGGCACTGAAATGGTAAGTTCTTAAATTGGCCTCCTTTTAAGCAGGAAAAAACACATATATCTAATTTTGATATAGATACATATGTATACACTTATGTTTAGATATGTATATAGACACATGAATAGACACCTGACATATTAAGAATAAAAATACTCCATGTAATATATTGAGGCAATAACATGAATTATCATGTAAAATTTAGTCTTCAGCTTTTAGATTTACTAGCTTAGAGATTTGTAATTGAATTCCTATTTTTTTTAAGATTGATTGATTGATTGATTTGACAGAGAGAGAGCGAGAGAGTGAACACAATCAGGGGGAGTTGGGGAGAGGGAGAAGCAGGCTCCCCACTGAGCAGGGAGCCCGATGCGGGGCTTGATCCCAGGACCCCGGGATCATGACCTGAGCCGAAGGCAGACGCTTAATGACTGAGCCACCCAGGCGCCCCGAATTCCTACTTTGAATACAAGCTTGTTAAAGATGAAAATAGCAATCCCGAAAATGAACATCCTTAAATGACTTAACAGAGAAGAAATTCACTGTTAATTGTACACCTCCTCTGAGCCCAGAACGATGTAGTGTGGGGTTATACTGTGTCATAGGTTATACACTTAAAAACAATGTAATGAAAGCATGTATAGGGGTATAGTGAAAGAAAATGAGTAAGAGCGAATAGAGAAATAATTTAGAATAACAATGTTAAAAATTATGTGTTGTAAATTATCAATATTATAGAAGTTCAAAAAGAGAGATGTCATTGTTATTGGCATTCTTCTCTCCCATGATCATATTTTTCTTAGGCTAAATTTTAATTGGTTTGGTTTCTTAGATGCATATCAGTTTACCTAGGTGGAGAAGACCAAAGATAATACCAGAATTTGAGAGTTGAAGGACCTTTGGGATCATCTAGTTATACTCTTACGTTTTTACAGAATAAAGAATAAAGATCCAGAAAGGGTACAGAATTAGCTAGGAGCAAGACAAAGATGCAAATCCAGATTTTCTCAGTGTAGGGCTGAAGCTCTTTTTCTCTGACCTTTTAATCAGGTGATTACATGTTAGAAAGGAGAGGAAAAAGTCATTTGGAAAGTTAAAAAATAGGTTATGGATAATCTACAAAGAAAATAATCTACACAGAGAGAATAAATATGTAGACAGTATGTCTACTACCTCAGAGTGAATAATATATTTAAAAGATCATTAAATGCAAAAGCTTAGATTATTGTCCTGCTCTAATGGCTTGTTATTTTAACTCACATCATCACACATGTGTTCAGGAATCACTTCCAGAGGAAGCAATTTCCCCACTCTTGATATTTTCTTGTGGAAGGTGCTAAATTAGTTCAATTGCTGGCCTCTCTCTTTCATTACTCACTCTTCTCCAACAAGATGAAGGGATTTATCAAATTGTAAAATCTAAGAATTTTAGATTTTACAGAAAATCTAAAAAACCCAGAAAGACCTCCATAGAAAACTCCACCCTATCCATCTTTGTTTGTAATTAGGTAGTTAATTGGCGTATTTCTGGAGGTCAGTTAAAGACACTAAGCATGTCTCCCAACTTGGATCTGTTTTTAAATTTATTTTTTATATTTTTAATTAACATATAATGTATTATTTGTTTCAGAGGTACAGGTCTGTGATTCATGAGTCTTATACAATACACAGTGCTCACCATAGCACATACCCTCCCCAATGTCCATCACCCAGCCACCCCATCCCTCCCACCCCCCACCACTCCAACAACCCTCAGTTTGTTTCCTGAGATTAAGAGTCTTTTATGGTTGGTCTCCCTTTCTGGTTTTGTCAACTTGGATCTTATCAGTAGAAATTTGATGTTCCATCTGCAACTCTTTCATTTCATTTTCAATTTTTTTTCAGAATTTAGAGGATAAGGATGCACACTGTGTCAGAAGCTCTTTAAGAGCCGAAAACTTAGAATTTAGTACAAAACGGTTTAGGCTGTCATAACTCAACTGAACAACTGCTTTTTTGAGAACCGTCACTAATGAACAGAATAATTTTTAGTTAAATAAATCATTAGCTAAAAGACCTAGGCACCATTCATATTTCTAATGTTTTATATATATTATCCAGTTAATGAGACATAATGGAAACATGCACTAGACTGCAAATCTGTATCAGTAGAGACCAGTGTCTAATTCATAGCAACCCAAGAGCTAGCATAGATCCTGGCACACAGTACGTACTTAAAGAGTTGCCACGTGAATGGAAAAAAAAATACCATGGTATCATATAATAATAATTTTGGGTTCCAGATACGAGTTTGATTTCATTGTTCTGGATCTTTAGTTGCATGTCACTTTATTTTTTTAAGGTTTTATTTATTTATTTATTTAGAGTGCACATGAACAGGGGGAAAGGCAGAGGGAGAGAGAGAGAGGGAGGGAGAATCTTAAGCAGACTCCCCGGATGAATACAGAGCTGGTGGAGGGGCTTGATCTCACGACCCTGAGATCATGACGTGAGCTGAAACCAGGAGTCGGACACTTAACTGAGCTATTGAGGCACCCCAATTGCATATCACTTTAATAAAACATGTCAATATTAAGTGCACATAAATGCTTTACCAAAAGTTTTTCCAGAAGATTTTAAACGCTATCCAAAACTAAACCAAATACATTTTTTTTTCTTTCTAGTACTTCATTAATTACACTGAAATCAACCCAGCATCTCATTACTGTTGACAAGTACCAACAACACTCACATGGGGGTTTGTGTATCATTCTTCCCTGAGGTAGACTTGAGCTCACTGTGTCATTAACCTACGTTTTAAATGTAGCAAATCACTTAACCTCTAGAAGTCTGTTTTCTATCAGGAAAGTAGAAATGAAAATGGCCTGCCCCAGAGGTCTGACGTCATGGTGTGGGGAGGGAGGGAGGATGGTGGAACAGCAGCTGCTATTGAACATCTTCAATGTACCCAGCACAGTTGGGCATCCTGACATACATTATTTCTGAGCCTCCTTGTAAGTTCAATGTAAAATGGAAATTCTAACTTCTGTGTTTTAATGTTGTGGGTGCCTGGGTGGCTCAGGTGGTTAAGCATCTGCCTTCAGCTCAGGTCATGATCTCCAGGTCCTGGGATGGAGCCCCATGTTGGGTCCCTGCTCAGAGGGGAGTCTGCTGCTCTCTCTGCCTCTCCCCTGCTTGTGAGCTTGCTCTCTCTCTCTCTCAAATGAATGAATACAATCTTAAAAAAAGTATCCATTACATGCTCAGTACAGTGTCTAACACACGGCACAGCCTCTGAAATTGTGTTGATAATGGATGTATCAAAGGTTTTACCACTAGGAACCTGCAGCACAAAGATGCTTTTGCCAAAGCTTTTTGAAAAATATATTATACCACCAAATGAAATAATATAAGGGCCTGAAAATTAAGATGTAAGGTAGTAATTATTACTACTGTTTATATTATTACTATTGTTTGTATCCTTTACAAAGGAACTTATTCTAGGCTTTCTTTATATCAGTTTTCCTAGAATTATGAAACAGCAGAAATAGCTCAGTGCTGGAAGTAGCAGAGCAAGTTAGAAACTCAGCTTTGCTCCTAACTCGCTGGATGAACTTCAGTAGGTAACTCTTTTTAATCTGCCTAGACTTCTTTGAATACTTAGTCCATCAAGGTACAAAATTTTGTTATATTTAATGTTCTTAAGAGAATAACACAAACTGGGCAGTGAAGCTAGAGGAATTTAACACACTAGAATTCACGGCCAATTAAAAGTCAATCATAAGTTAAAACATCATATTCGAATGTATAAATTAAGCCAGTTGGAAAATATGATTTCACTTGTAATTGTCGGTGGATTCAGGCCACCTTTCAGGAATAGGCTCCATAATTTTTCACTTTTCTTTTTTTTCTTTCTCTCTTTCTCTCTTTTTTTTTTTACAAAGTAAAATAATAATATGTTACTAGAGGAACAACAGGCTTCACCATGCCTGATACAAACTAGACTAAGTTTAAATGAAGTTGGTAACAAAGTCATACATGGAAAGCCTTGCCCTGGAGATTTTTTTCTTTATCTGGGAATGCTGAAAATTAGCTCTGCCACTGAACACAGGGAATCAACACTAAGCTCCAAATCTCTGCTTATATTGGCTTTTAAATACTTCAAGCTGCCTAGGGTAGAGTCAGCCAGTCCCAAAATGCACACTTAAATACGATTCATTGGCTTCCTGTCTGTCTGGAGATGTCAACAGGCTGTAAATCATGACATTCCCCTGGGCCTGGGGGCTCACACCTGCAAGCCAACTTAGTCACCAAATAGGTCTTTTTTTTCTACTCTCCAAAAGGTTGCTTTATTCCGGTTTCCATGATTAATTCTATACCACTTCATGTTTCTACTTTGTCTGTGAGGTTTTCACAAATCTATACTATTTTCTACTCCTTTCCAGCTATAAGATTTTCGAGTTTTGGGAGAGAGAGTTTGTTGTTTTCACACTGAATAAGGATCAAACTAAAGATAGCAAGAAGGTTGAATTCACTAAAACCAAACCCTCACATCTGTATACTCCAGTGACAGGAGAGTAGAGTGAATAATGAAAGGGCAAGGACTCTGGTTTTGTCTCATTGAAAAAAAAAAAAAGCAAAGTGCCAGGGAAAGTGTCTTCTGGTCAATGACTTTATGAAGAGGTTCTAGGAATGGCTTTTTCATTCTTCTGGCACATGACATGATTTTTGAGATTGGTCTAGATGACATAATTGAGCTTTCAAACTGAGCCCTGAACTAGAGAATTTATTCAAACTATTTAGTAGACTAGAGTTTTCAAAAAAAAAAAAAAAAAAGACATCTGGGACCTATTTCAGTAGAGTTAGGGGGACACATTTTAGAAACTCCCCCTTCTTAAGGCAGATAAATTTATAGATAAACAGATGAGTTTATAGTTAACAGTTTATAGATTCTTGCCAGATAGTTTTGCCCTATTTTTATTCTGTTTTGAAGTAATTTAAAGATAGATTTACATTTGGAAGGAAATTTCACCCACGTGAACATGTGTGATATTCTTAGCAGTCAGAGTCAAGTGCTTTAAATAGGATGTGTTAATTAACAAACCTTGTATAAGAATATATTTTAAGCAACACTTCATTAGGCCATGGATTGAAATAGACTAACAAAAATGTTCACCAAGTATATTTCTTTCAAATGGTCATAAATTTTGTTCAAAATTAAGGAAGCACTCAAAAATAATAATATAAAAAGCTCCACTAAGATATTAATTATTGATTATGGCCCCAAACCAAAATATCAAAAGTTTTTAACTTTTAGCATAAAGCTAATCTTAATTCTGTAGTCTGTAAAAAGGCTGACTTCATAGGAACATTTTTCAGCAATGAATGTCAAAGCATTGTCATTAAAAAGATCTTTCAGGTTTTATTGACCTGCTTTTGCTGAGCATTTTACTTTTCAAAAGGAGAACAAACATATTTTACACTCAGAAACGGACATGGTTTCTGAAATATTAACAACAGGATTTCACTCTCCAGTGATGATAGCTCTATTTAGTCGAAAATAAAAGGAAGTTTTACCCATGAGAACAAAAATAAGCAGTCTCATTCTCCCATCTCAGATTTCAGAGAAGCCCACACAGTTCTCAAAGGAGCTTCACTGAGTGTCCCCAGGCAGGAAAACATGGCAGAGAATCAGAAACATCTTGAGAATCATACCCGAAGTGATGTTGATGTTTTTAAGATGACATTTGTGTAATTTTAAGGAGTTAATGTTTAGAATCAAATATACAAAAGCATCATCTGTCAGTGATTATTAAAAAAATGCTCACAACTCATAAGATTGTACTGGGAACTCCGTTATGGTCAAAACTCATCTAGTGTGTGTCCAGATTAATGTACTGATTCCTAAGAGCTCTCCCCAAATCACTTCTAGTTTTGGCTAAAGATGTCTTAACTCAATAATTTATGTAATCCTCTATGGAGGGGTGGGACAAGGAGGAAGCACAAAATAAAGATGCAGACATAGTTTTAATATGTTCAAAGAAAAAATTAGGAGTCAAATTAGATCAGGTGGATGAATTTTCCTTTTTTCCCTTTAACTAATATGCTCCAACATATAGTGTAGGGAGTGAAATTTGGGTTTATTGGGTTGCTGTCTCTAAAGCACAACTGAACTTCCATTCGATAAAAAAAAAAGATCTTCAAATGTGTACAGAAACTAAAGTAGACATCTATATTTAAATGTTCAATCTATCCAATTGGTATTCAACTGTTTTACCTTATGCTGCACACAACAAAAGTAACACCCTGAATAATCTCAGCATATTTTCTGGTTTTCTGTGTAAGCACAGTATTTCACATCACTCAAGTAAGTGAAGAAAATAAATAACAAGGTTTATAAATTGAACATTGTAACATAAGGTTATCTTAATCTTTAGATAATTCCTTTGTGAAATTAGTAATATTTTTGTAATATGAATAATTACTGCTTTCACCAGCTTACATGGTTATAAGTGTGGTCAGAAATGGAGCAACCCATTCTTATCATCAATAACAATGATGATGGTGACGATGATGATAATAATAATAATAATGGCAGGATGAAAATTTGAGGGGTGATGGATAGATTGATGGCATAGATTGCAGTATGGTTTCACAGATATACACTTATCTCCAAACTCATCAACCTGTATACATTAAATATGTACAGCATTTTGTATGTCACCCAATAAACTGGTTAAAAAAAACAAGAATAAAGAAATGGAGCAACCCAGAATCTCAATTTCAAAATAACTGGGGGGAAAAAAACCCTCACAAAACTTGAAATGATCCTTCCCCATGAAATTGACCAGGCCATTATAATTCTCTGTCATTAAAATTAAGATTTTAATTTTTTTATATACTATGGCAAGGGGCAATTTATGCCAGACTTGAAGCTGAAGGAATGGGGATTTCTAAAGGGATTATGTCACTGGGTAGCATGTCTCCTCCTTTGATGACTCTGTCATAGTTAAAAAGTCTGGTTCAGCCAGATTCCTAATCACAGTGTTCCAGTAATAAAAAGTGTAACTACAAAAAATAAAATAAATCCAGGAAACAGGCAAATAACACAAACTAAACAAGAGAATAATGACATCTCATGGCTAATTCTGCAGATGGTGCAACTCCTTCTCTTTACCTGCATATCATGGCTTTCAGGATCACGATGCTGATTTGATTCCTATATTTAGATTGTTAAAACTACAAAATGGAATCTGGCACTTTAGAATATTCTAGCAGTATAAATAAACAACTGAACAAAAAGTGTTCTGCCTAATCTGTTAAGTAGGAACCATCCATGTTTCTAACATTTCATAGCAACTGCTCATTTATTGAGATTTTACTTTGTGTGTTTTCCTTCCCCCATATTTTTAATTTCCCCCTTTTTAGGGGCTATCTGTAGAGTCCAAAGGATATCTATTCCTCTGACTCAAGGTTGTTTGCCCAAGACTGGGTGGCTTGGCAGAGTCCTAGAAGCAACTGATACATTTGTCTTGCTCCCTCATAGAACACAGGACGGTGGTGGCTCTGTAGGGGAGTGGGGTCCAAAGGAAGAGTTGGACACTACAAGCTCAAACTAAGTCCCAGCAGTAGACTTGAGTGGACAGAGGACTAGGGGACCCTCTCCCAAGGCCTTCACACAGTATCTGGAGCAGTATGGGAGAGAATAGGGAAAACTCCAAACGTCTCAAATTGGCTTTTTCACTTTGAGTGGAGTCTCAGTCATATTTAACTTGAATTTTTTTTTAATTAAAGAATCTTCCTCGTACACACTTAGTGTGGTAAAGTAAAATTCATACCTGACATACATTTTGTTGAGATTATGTTGGCTATCATGTTTTATGGAACTTGGAGTTACTTCTGATTGCAGGTTAACTTTCCATTGGATCAAAAACAAAAACAAAAACAAAAAACCCAGGTCTATTTGCTGGCAGCAAGCTTTCTACCTATTGCTGTAATTTGCTGATGTGTACACCTTGTATCTTCTTTACCCTGATTATCTTTATAAATTTCTCTTTGAGAACTTTCACCCAGAGCTAGCTCTCCCTTTATCTCATTGACTCATCTGATCTGTATCCTAAAAGTGTACTCAGATCTTGATGAAAAAAACATCTAATTAATTCTTAATTTAATTTTGAATCAAGACTTCTTCAACCATTTACATCCTCATTTCTAATTCTTTCGGCTTCACAGAACTGTCAGAAGATCTGTTTGGTCATTTGCAAGATAATGAAAGATAAGATATGAAACCAAAGCAAGTCAGCTGAGGTAATAAAGTCCCTTTCTCTATTTAGCTATGATTGTGACTGTTACAATTACTTCTTTTTTCCTAGAAGAAAATGATTCCATACATATTTTCACCTATGAAGGATAATATTCTATGCCTTTCTCTAATCAAAATACGGAGAATAATTGAAAAACTATCCCCCCACTTAGAAGTAGAAGCTAAAAGACCTGAGAGATGGGATGTTGAATGAGAGAAAATGAGAAAAAAGGAACAACAGAGGAGACAGGCATTAAAATTATTAAATTTTAATAAATTCATTAAATATTAGATGATTTTAGGGATTATATTAAGAATTAATAATTATTATAAAGAATAAACAGGGAGAGAGGAGGTGAAGGAGTTGGGAGAGAGAGACATAACAGGAACAGACTTTAGTGGAAAGAGTAATAGTCACACACAACTTCATGTACAAGACCTTCCCCTACCCCCCAAGAAAAGGATGGAAGGAAAATGTATTGGACGAGAGGATATGCTTTTAGTAAATGCTTATTAGACGTAGTGGCTTTGACACGATTGTGGGGCTAGGAATATTGGTAGCATGTTTTTAGTTTGAACAACTGCTCTTGAGATGTTTGTACTGATTATATTTGAAAAAGTAGCTTCTCAATACCCAGGTTAAATTAACAATGCAAAGCCAGGAAGCTCCTCAGCTGCTTCAATGCTGAGATGGTCCACATCTTAACATAGTGGCAGCAGGTTGACCTACCTGGCTGCAATCCGGCCAAGCTCTAGCAAACAGAGACACACTTCTCTGGGTTGCTTGTGGAGAACTGAAAGACAAGACAGAGGTGGACACCTTTATAATAGAAGGGATTGTAAAACAGCTTAATCGTGAACAGGCTTGCCAATGACCTCTCATCCCTCATGCTTCCCATAAATGATTTAGTCTTCATTCTCACATTCACAGAAACCATCCCATCCCATGGTACACTTAGCTCTACTGAAGTCTTAACGCAGCTTTCAAAACTCTCTGCCTAACCTCCCTTCTCAAAGTCATGAGTCTCAGAAAATCTTACCCTCAGTAAATCTCATCCTGAAAATGTTTTTCTTTTATTAGGTAATATTAGTAAGTCAATCTTGGAAATATATGTAGTTGTCATTATGATATAAATAGTTGATATTTAAAAATACATAGCACACAGAAGACTATGGATCAAGAAGGGACTCTTAAAAATCCTGAGTCTATCTTCACCAGTGATTTGAGTGAAATAATACAATGAATAAGGATAAAAATGCCATTGTTATCCTCCAAGCAGTGACATCAATGAGACTCTGAAACTTGATGTCCTCTCCTAATCAAGTCTGATTAAATGATACTTTAGAAAGATATACTTTCAACTGAATGGATTTGTAAATATGTATCAATATATACCAACAGCTAACTTTGCCCATAAAATGAGCAAATTAGAAGACTGTTCTTTGTATTGATCAGATTCTAATATAATCTGATTACTTAATAAATCTTGCTTTACAAATTGCTTTGGACACATTCAGTAATGCTGACAAATCATACTTGCATATGTTGAGCCTACCAAAAGTGTATGTCCTGCTTATATTGCTCTCTTTTTAACAAGATTAGAGAATTTTAAAAATATTGTTATATACTGCACCTAATAAAGCCAACAGATATTGAAAAACTATAATGTATTGAGAATGGTCTTTACATAGACAATATCTTGATAAAAGAAAATACTAGCCTATTGATAGCTTATTGATAAATTTTAAGAAAAAGAGTAATATTGTTTTAATTCTTAAACATAGAATTTTATAATAATTCTATTTCCCAACATTATTCTATTCCTTTAACTTTAATATCTAATTCTTTCACTCCACAGATTATGGTAGTGGTAATATTTGGTCCACGAACATCAGAATGAAATTTATTAGGAGTTTGTGGTGAATAGAAAGAGAACATTTACTTGGATTGTAAAAGTATATAATTGGCTTTAAACAGACACAATTTTATTATCTTGTTATAAAATGTCACCTTTGAAGCTCACAAAATAACTTCTATTCCCCTCAACAATGTTCATTAAAATAGAATTATGGAAAATCTCAATTACAGAATATTTCAATTCTTGGTAACATAAAGTTTAGCTTTAGCTGACCCTGAGTGAATTCCCTTAATCAGGAAGCCTAGTTATTTCTAATTAAACAATCTAAAAATAAGGATAGTTAATAACTCCAATTTCAAATGCACCAGTGGTTGACTCTGGTTAGAATGATACAAACTTCACAACTTCATTAAATCAACTTCAGTGCAATATAATATATGGACCGTAATATCACATAGGCATCAATTTCAAAAAGAGAACAATCACAAACATCACCAAACAGAGGCAAACAAATGAAAATCAATCTTTCTGTCTAGATAATCAATTCTTTCTGACTCAGGCTTTAAAAAAAATCCTATCCATGGAACAAAATAATAAACAGGAGTTTTTGAGTGGAAAAAGGAATATATAAAAACTGAGGAGAGGAAGATCTTTTTAGGCCCTGTTAATACCCTCATCCTCAGTGAAAGCTATGCAAAGCAAGTGGCTACAGCTGCTAAAGACGTGGACACAATCTCATGTACTTCCTGATGGAAAGTGTCAAATTGTAAAAATTACTAGTGAACTGACCCAATTGTGTCAACGTGCAGTCAATAACCAATTATAAAAATACCTGACCCAACTATAATGATTCCTTAACCAACTCATTATATACAGTTTGAGGCCTATATAAGCACTGGAATAGATATATTTTATGGAAAATAAAATTCATCCTGAAGAAAAACAATAATGTGGCTAATAAAGACAATGTGATATGTGAGACACATTACTATTGTATGCTTCTTTGCTTCTTCAATTGAGCTATCAACTTAAAACAGCTTTGGCATGCCCAAATTCAAACACTGAATCTACCATGGACTCATTAGAAAATCACTTTTGGCAAACTAAAAAGTAACAGCATGATTCTTCATTTTATATCCTTAAAAGAACCAGCCTATAAAATTTAAGACAAATTAACCTCTCCCTCAGCATCATTTCTTAGGAAAAACTAGTAGAATGGTTATTTTACTTCCCAAAATTCTTGGAAATATTATTTTTCATAAAGGAAAAAACTTGCCTCAAAAAACACCCCCGTGTTATTGTTTCACATATTAATGGCTTTTCAAATAGCAGGTATATTATGCCTGGCCTGTGATGACAAAAAAACCCTACAAAAAAAACAAAACAGAAAAACCATGTCTGATGACTAGTGAGCAATGAGTGAGATGAAGTTGTAGATGTGCATAATTTAGCACAAAACAGTAATTACTCACTAAGTAACACATCTCAAAAATCGAGGATGATGACAATCATCTGGTGATGATAGTGGTTTTGACAATGAACAAACTAAAGACTAACATCTTACCTGGTGTCTTGAGAAAATGCAAATGATGTCAATGTTTATTTAATTGTAAAAACAAATACTCTTGCTTTATGGCTATACAATTAAATTCAAGAGTCTTTAAATAGTATCTAAATTTGCCAAAGAGGTGACTTTGTTTGGTTTTTGCACTCAAGCAAGTTTTAAAGTAAGTTAGTAGAATATAGTGGCCATGGGATTCAAACCACAAAGATCTGGGTGTGAGTATCAACTCTAAGGCTTACTGGCTGCATTATCTTGGGAGGTTATTCAATAAAATCTCATTTTTCTGAGGAAAAACAAAAGTGTATACCTTGCAATATTTTGGTGAGGATCAAAGTAATATTTATTGTTATTTTAGCTCAGTGTGTGGCACATAGGAAAGGCTCCCCCAATGCTAGCTTTATTATTTCTTAAAATTTTTGTTATTATAAATTATTTGTTTAAAGATTGTCTTCATTTGGCTTAGTCAACAATAATTCACTTATTTTTTTTTCTAAAAACATTTTTTTGTGTGTGCACCGATCAGGTATCAGTCACTATGCTAAGCACTGTAAAAACTTATAAAAAAAATTACTATTGGTATAATATATATAATTTAAAGTGGTCCTATTATAATGACTATATATTGAATATTTTATCATTTATATTATATCAGAGACCACTAATTATAAATCAATCTAAATCAAATGTCAGTTTAAGTAGGTCAGTTTGGTCAGCATATACAGAAATATAAAGCAGATAATCCAATAGCTATTACAAGTTTGTGCTAAGTATAAAGCTTGAGTAAAATGTGTCATTTTGTGAAACAGCAAACACCTTATCATTAAATTTTCTTCCTCTGAGAATAAAATTTAGATGAGTCCATTTTTAGTAAATTACCCAAGTTGATTATGTATTATATATTTTAGAAGATCAAATAATCGAGTGCTAGCTAGTCTTTGTCGGGATGATTAAAAAGACAACTTTTAGCATATTGCATTTGAACGAAAGCTTTTGTATTGAGTCATAAGGATACTCATCTTAAACAAATCATTTTAATGATTCATCTTTGCAAAAAAACAAGAAAGCTTCTACTTACACTAAAGTTTACAGTAGAAAACATTTTTTTCACTCTATCACTGAAACGTTCATATGGTTTTTTGCTTTGAGTTAGAAGGGACCACTATTGCTTTCTTTCCTCTAAAAAATTCTTTTTAAAACAAATAAAAAGCTCTCCAGTCAATGGTAATTATTATGCAAAAAGTTTTATCACTGGATTTTTTTAAAAAAATAATCAAAACCATCTCAAAGAAAAGCATAATGCAGAACACCTCTGGGAAAAGTAACAGAGATCCCTATTCAAAAAAATTGTGGCAAGAGACTCAGGCGTATAACCTAGATTCTATAAAAATCTCATGGGCATCAAATGTCAAATGGAGTGCTGCTAGCTCCAGGAATAGAAAATGAGGTCTTCCACTAAAGCAAAAGGTAGAGTTTCAATGTCACAGAATCTGCAAGGATAAAATGCATTCAACCATAAATGTATAGTTTAGCTAAATATATTAAGTTTTAACACATGGGCAAAGAAATGGAAGCATGAAAAATTGTGTTGTCTATTTGGTGTCTATACAATAAAGACTATAATATTCACACTGGTTTTGAAGGAAACTGGGTTTTAGATTTATATTTAGGAAGGAAACTTGAAAAAAATACATTTTGGCTGAATATCATTTAATTGTGAAAATATCATAAATGAACATTGTCCACCTCCCAGAATAGAGAATAACAAGTTCTAATACTCAGAAACAGTGGTATGATAGAAAATACAATAAATTAGAAGTCAGAAAGAGGCTCCATAGCTCAGGGGTTAGAGCACTGGTCTTGTAGAAGTCAGAAGGATTGGGTTTTAGTCTAGGCTGCATAATTTTTTCATCTCTCAAACAGGAGTCTTGCCTTCTACTTGCTCTTCCTTATGAGGTGATTTTATGGTTAAAAGCACTTGGTACATATGGCAAGCACTCAATAAAGGTTACTCCCTTGCTTCTTAAGTGGGGTCCACAGACCAGCAGCATTGGCATCAGCTGGGAGCTGGATAAAAATACAAATTATTGGGTCCCACCCCAGACTTATTGATCAGAACCTACATTTAAACAAGCTCTCCAGGTGATGGGTATGCACTTTAATTTTGGAGAAGCACTGTATTAACCAATGCTGTGTATTGTAATAAACAATAGTTATAATTCCTCTGTTTTGCTAGAAACATTCAAATGTGCTTTGATATATATATACACACACATATATATATATATAATCTACAAATGTTTCAGATAACAGTGATGACAATGATGAATTAAAGGAAAATAGTTCATGCTTTGGATTAGCCCTTTATATGTAT